ACACGTGGGGAAACCGTGACCAAGAGAAATTGCAGAACTTGCCCAAAGTTACAGATGTAGAACGGAGCCTCAGGTGAGGCGTGATGTAGCAGGCGGGTCTTCTACACCTTTACCATCGTGAACATCATCTCCTCGCTGGAGTCAGAGAGCGATCTTCCCTTTCCCCTGCCTCCCCAACCCCTTCCTGGAACCCAGAGCTGCCCCCTCTCCCAGTCCAGCGAGCGGGTCTGTAGTTCCAGAAGGGCCTCCAGCCTTCAGATCTGCATAGTTCACCCACACGCACAGCCGCTCCTGCAGGCCCAGGTGCCGCTCCTGAATGGCTGCCCAGAGAGCTCACTCTGCCAAACCTTCCAGAAGACTCCTCATCCCAGACCCACAGAGAGCAGGACACCCTGTGGCCATAACCCTCAGCCTCCCTTCATCAGGTCAGCCTGCAGGGATCCAGCACTCACAGAAGGTACGGGGGTCCCCGATACATAAGTCGGCCCCTGCCTTCAAGGGGACTTGTCAACTGGGTGAGACACACAGACAAGACACAGGAAAGCTATGAAATGACACAGTGTGTGTCAGGGAAGACCTTGAGAGATGGGGAGGAGGCGGGGGGCAGAGAGTGGAGAGGCTGCTCTCCAGGTCAGGTGCCAAGACAAGGGACTGGGCACAGCAGGGACAGTGGTCCTGGGGCAGTGAGCAGAGCAACCCAGTGGGAACAGAGGTTATATGAGGTGTCACTATGGGAGGGACGGCTGAGAACGTGCATCAGAACCGAGGAGCCCACCAACATTAAGGACCTTCACTGTCTGTCCCATCCATTGGCGTCACTCTTCTGGTTACCTATTGCTGTGTAACAAATTACCCAAAAACGTAATGACCAAAAACTGAATGGGCTCAACTGGGCGGTTCTCAGGAAGGGTCTCTTGTGAGGTTGCAGACACACGGTGGTGGCTGGACTGCATCATCTGGAAGGTTTCCTCCCTCACCTACGGGGGCCAGAGGGGGGGTCAGCTGGGGCTGTTGTCCAGACCACCTAGGCGTGGCCTCTCTGTGTGGCTTAGGCTTCTCCATGGCTCAGAGGCCTGGAGAACAGGAATCCCTGGAGGACCAGCCCGGAGGTGCCTCGCTTCTCATGACCTGGTCCCAGAAGCCACAAGGTATCACCGGCTCCTGGTTCCCAGCTCTCGGAGGACAGAGTGCCCATATCACATTGGGACAGCACCTATGGGACAGGAGGTGTCGCAGCCATCGTGCAAAATACAACGTGACAATCACTAACAGCTTCCCAGACGAGAGAGTGACACAAAGGAATGAATGGCAGCAGATGTCAGGGTGGAAGAAAGAGTAAAGGCAGAAGGGTTTCTGATGCGAGCATCTCCTGCGGTCTTCTCTGCCAGACGCAGAAAGTATATGGCCGGGGCCGACATCACCAAGCAATCGTGGAATTTTTTCCCGACCCTGGACAGAGCTTCAGAATCCTCATCAGCACAGCCAGGCAGCCGTGGCCGATCCATCACAGCAGACGTAGCAAGACAAAACCGTATTGCCTTTTCTCTTCTGAACAGTCCCATGAAAAGGCTTGGAGGAATCCAGGGCTCCGAGCTCCACCAGGGACAAAGCACAGCCCTGGGGTTTGAGCCAATCCCTTGTGGCCCCAACAGAAGGAAGATTCGCAATCAGCCTGGCCACGGAGCGGGTTCAGTGATGCCAGCGGGAGCTAGATCAGAAATAAAACTGGGGCAGGAACAGTCAGCTCTCTCCTTGTGCTCTATCTGCCTTTTTACCGACCCGGTAACGACACTGCCCAGCTCCAACTGGCCAACCCTGACCCACAAGAGCCAGCTGGGCTGTTTCCTACCCAACAACTATGCCTGTTACACGTCACGGACTGGGGAAGGCTGCTGAGTACGTGGGTGCCAGGAGTCCAAGGCTCGGGAGGGGAAGGAGGCCACGTCACCCCCATCCACTCAGGGGCTCTCTTGACATCCACCACCCCAGGGTGTCTGGAAGGAGTGGTGGCTGCCTTGGAGAGACAGGAGAGCATAGACCGATAAGAAGTCAAACTGCCTGGGTTCGAACCCCACCTACATTTCCTCTTCTCTAAAATGGACCTGAACCAGACCAGGACTCTTCCACAATTTTAGGAGCCAGAACAAGGGGGGGGGGGTTGTGTGTGGTATTTGCGACAGAGCCCCAGCCACCCCGTCCGCCAGAAAAGGGAAAGCTAGCCTGCGATTTCATTATTTTGTTTATTTTGCAGAGAACTGTTCAGTGGCATCAAACCGACACTCTTGTTTTAAAATCAAGTATGAAACCACAGCCATGAGCAGGTGGTCACAGGAGAAAAACTACACCGTCAAACGGGCACTGTCAAAACAAGCAGGTGGCTGCCTCTGAGTGTCACTAACACGCTCCGGCTCCTTGTTCTTTTGTCTGTCTGCTGACACCTCTTTACTGTTGAGTGGTCATGGGCACCGGAGATTCCAGAAAAGTTTGTTGGAGAAAAATGTAAAACCAAGAAGAGTGCGGCCCACTAATTCACAGTGGTTTTTGTTTGCTCAGTTGGGGGAAAGCCATGATTCCATTCTGGCAGAGGACAATCCAAGTCCAGGTTTCGAGGTGCCCAGCCCAAGACCGGCTGGACAGAAGCTTGCTTAGGGCCTTTCCAGCCCCAGCTGCTGCGTGAGTCACCGTGCAGCTGGTCCTGGCAGCACCTGGGGGACCCAAAGCAGGGGCCGGGGGCAGTTGTCCCTTTTTGTCCAGCATTAGCTGTTCCCAGCCACCGACGCAGGCACGACAGAGCTGGCCACGGCTGAAAGCATGGCCAGATGACCGAGGGGATCAACGGGGAAGACAAGCCCGAGGCAGCTGGGCTGAGGCCCCTGGTCGTGCGACAGCAGCCAGGACCGGCACATGTGCCCAGTAACGGGCTCCGGGGCCGGCCCGGCCCAGCAAGCAGCTGTCTTCCGGTGCAGGCTGCCCCAGCAGCTGCAGAGGGCTGGTGAAAACTTGCGGTGCTCCAGGGGCGTGCTGGGTGCAGCCTGGAGCCACCCACCATGCTTGGGAGCACCCACCCGCACAAACCCAGACCGGGGACGAGCCCAGGTCAGGAAGCTGCCAACAAAAAGCACGAGCAGGGAGGTGATGGGAGACAGGTGGCCAAGGGCAGTCATCCCTTCAACAAATGTTCACGGAACGACAGCAACACATGCGTCTTCGGCATCTACCAGCTTAATGTTTATTTTTATCTTAGAAGGTAATATGTTGTCTTTGTAAGAATACTAGAAGAGCAAAGGAGTGTATCAAGTAAAAAAGTAAGGTCCGCCTCATTTTACATCTCCAGTTCCACTTTCCAGAGATAATCACCATTAACAGCATGGGGGATGGTCTTCTGGACTTTATTTCTATGGAAATATGCCTGTATCAAATATCTATATATGTACATTACTATAGAATATATTCTAATTTCAAAAAGAGCATGTCACTCCTCACATTGTCCTGCAACTGAGCCTTTTTTTTTATTTTTTTTTAATTTATTTATTTATGATAGTCACAGAGAGAGAGAGAGAGAGAGAGAGAGAGAGAGAGGCAGAGACACAGGCAGAGGGAGAAGCAGGCTCCGTGCACCGGGAGCCCGATATGGGATTCGATCCCGGGTCTCCAGGATCGCGCCCTGGGCCAAAGGCAGGCGCCAAACCGCTGCGCCACCCAGGGATCCCAGCAACTGAGCCTTTTTACTGAACATTGCACTACCTTTTGCATGTCAGTCCCTCCATCCAGGTCATCCTTTTGGACTGCTCAATAATATTCCATTTTAAGAATATAACGAAGTGATGCTTTTCATCCGTTCCCTGTTGCCCTCTCTCACGTTGCTGCAGCCAAGCCCCTCGGGGACACACGCTCGTGCATGAGGGCAGAGTTCCTGCACTGTAGGGCTCCAGCAGCATCAGGGAATGACAGAGCTGGCCCAGTAAAATGTTCAACAGATACTGCTAGGCAGCGTCTGAAAGCACCACAGAAACGTGCCTTGCAAACAGCACCGGCAGTTAACACTTTCGGGGCTCTCGGTCCCTTTGAGAAACAAATGCAATCTCAAAACCCGCCCATCCACACATGACTTTTAGGAGTTCGTAGGCCAGCTGCCCAGAAGTCCGAACAGAACTCCAGGCTGAGTGCCCTCCGTACACGAAGCCCCCAGCAGGTCAGTGAAAAGCTGTGATAACACCTCTTTCTCCATGGCACCTCGGGCAAGGGCCCCCTGATTCCCAGGGCCCCCCGATTCCCACGAGCAGCGAGCGCAGAGGCTGGAAGGAGAACGCCCTGCTCTGCTCTGCTGGGCCAACCTGATTGCTTGTACGTGTCCTGCAGGTGACTGCAAATAACTACCCAGAAGTCCCGGGGACTATTTCAGACTTAGAAAGGTCACAGGAGGGAAATAATAATGAAGGGACAACCACATGAACCACATCTTGGTGAGTCTTAGCAAACAAGCCTCACGTCCAAGGCCCTTAAAAGCTACAAATTGGCCAGGGTCAGGATAGCTTACAAGACCCCACAGGGGCCTTACCTGTGTTCCCCTGGACCCGTGACTTAACTTCCCTGAGGACACAGCTCCCAGCCCAGTCACCTTCCTGGGATGGGGAGGGGTTCAAATAAAGAGGTGGGGAAATGTTTTTTAAAAAGCAAAAATCAGAGGCATGTGGGTGGTGCAGTCGGTTGAGCATCCGACTCTTAGTTTCGGCTCAGGTCATGATCTCAGGGTCATGGGATCGAGCCCAGAGTTGGGCTCTGTACCAGTGCGGAGTCTACGTGAGACTTTCTCTCCCTCTCCCTCTGCCCCTCCCCTCTCCACACTTTCTCCCTCTCTAAAATAATAAATCTTTAAAGAAATAAAAAAGCAAAAATCTCCTTTAGAAGAAAAAGCAAAGAGAACAAAATGAGTGGGGAATAGGCAAAAAAAAAAAAAAGGTGTCCATATTGACTTAAGTTTTTTTAAGAATACTAGAATATAAGAAAAATTGGTAATTTTTATTTTTTTTAAAGATTTTATTTATTTTTTCATGATAGGCAGAGAGAGAGAGAGAGGCAGAGACACAGGCAGAGGGAGAAGCAGGCTCCATGCAGGGAGCCCGACGTGGGACTCGATCCCGGGACTCCAGGATTGCGCCCTGGGCCAAAGGCAGGCGCTAAACTGCTGAGCCACCCAGGGATCCCCAAAATTGGTAATTTTTAGAACTTCATTCAGGATCCACAGATTCCAGCTGACCGGACTCTAGTAGCTCCAAACTGGCTGATCTGAGAGGCTGGCTGGTTTGTAACCAAAATTTCCTACAGATCACTAGTTCTCAAGTTGGGGTCCCAACAAGGGACATGTGGCAGTATCTGAGGATGGCTTTGGTTGTCACTGCTCAGACCAAGGTGCTACTGGCAGCCAGTGGGTAGAGGCCAGGGACGCTGCTACACACCCACCCCACAGCGCACAGGACAGCCCCACAGTGAAGGATCATCTGGCCCCAAATGTCAACAGTGCTGAGGCTAAGAAGCCTTACTCCGGAGGGCAGTGGGGTCACAGGCCATAGCCACTGGCTGGAGAAAGGGCCCCTGGTAAGAGTCCCGTGGTGTCCTTGGAATCCTTCCACTCCTCTTCCTCTGTTGCGGGTCATCTGTCCCCACTTTGGAAGCTGCTAAGAGCCTGTCTGCCACTGGGGGGGGGTGGGGTAAGAGCAGACCCACCGCAGCCACAAAGCCCTTTGAAGAGTGACAGCCGTAGTTACAGGAAGGGCCAGGCCTCAGCTGCTGCGGGCCCAGTGCAGGAAGGTTTTGAGGTGAACGGTAGAGCAGGGTGAGAGGGTGAGGGGCCTCATTACATTTTAAAATAGAGTTTTTTCCGGAGGAAATTGAAACAACCGGGAATCTGTTTGTAAACTCCTTTCTGCGAAACAGCATTAGCGACCTGTGAAAACATGAGCACAGGGAAGCCTGAGGTCTCTCCATGGAAGTAAGAGCTCCAGAGGGGGGCTGGGGGGGGGGGGGGATGGCCGCTGGACCAGCCCTGTCACATCTTCAGCTTGTACCCTGTGTCTCTGAGTCTGTCTCTGTTTGTTCGTTTTGTTTTTTAGATTCCACGTAGAAGTCAAATTATACTGTATTTGTCTTTGTCTGACTTATTTCACTTTGCATAATACCCTCTAGCTCTATCCATGTTGTTGCAAATGGCGAGATCTCATTCTTTTTTATGGCTCATATTCTAATATATACGTGTCGCATCTTCTCTATCCACGCATCTACTGACGGATGCTTAGCCTGCTTCCGTATCTTGGCTGCTGTACATAATGCTTCAGGGCAGGGGAGCAGGACGATGGGTGAAACAGGTGAAGGGGATTAAGAGGTACAAACATCAGGGCACAGCAAGCGCAGCATAGAGAATGGAGTCAATAATATCGTAATAACTTGGAGTGGTGCCGGATGGCGACTACGCTTCTGGCAGTGAGCACAGCCATGACGTCACTGTGCTGTACACCTGAAGCTGATAAAGCATCACTATATATGTCAACTATACTTCAACAGATACACACATACCTATAAAGATACATTAACTAAAAGCTTAAAACCTATTTTAAAACCCTGCGGCCCCCCTGAGTTGGAAGGGAAGGTGTTCAAAGAAAAATATCTCCAGTTTAGAAAACTCAAAATTTCGAAATTCAAAAATTCACCAAGTTCAAATCTGATTGAAAGGTCTGCTTAAAGAAAAGTTGAGAGATGAGATCAGGCCCAGAAGCCAAGTGCCCTGCTTGGCCTTGACGGACTCCCCCCCACTCCCCCTGCAAGGCTTCCGGCTGCCTCTGAGCTCACCTGCCCAGAGCCATGGCACGTGGCGCCACTGGAGTCGTGCTAGGTGGTGGCCCTGCACTTGCTTTTCCTTTCTCCTCTGCTCTGCTCAGCAAAGCACAAAGCCAGAGCCTCCCCAGGAGGAAGGCATAGTCCCAGCTTTCTAGACTCTTCTCATAACACAAAACACCTGAGCGCATGGGAGAGACCCGTGTGTGCTCTGAGACCCGTGGAGGAAGCAGCTGCTCTGAGCAGGATTCCGCTGAGGGGGTGGGGCCCTGTCAGGCCATCCTTTCCCCCCTCTCTCTAGGGCCCCCCAAGAAGGGCATATACTGTAGAAATAATTCTCAAGGGTCAAGAGTAGAAGACTATACAGTGTGGCAAAGGGTGCGGGCCCCACGACCTGCCTTCGGGAATGCCAAGCTCTGGCCCCTGAGCCATGCTGCCCTGGCACTGGGGACCGGCTCTGCCAGAGGGGATCCCAGTGTCACCTGGGGCCTCAGAGGAGCCGGGGAAGGCAGCCCTTTGAACAACGGGCAAATGTCACTGTAACAGTGGCACCTTGCAAGGAAGAGAAGCAAAACTCCCACGGCAAGCCAAGGTGCAGAAGAAACCTCTGACTCGGGCCTGGGCCCCCACTGGCCCCCCCCACTCGGCCCTGAGGGGGATGCACTGCCACTCCCGGCAGCCTTCCCGCTCCTTCCCAGGGAAAGGCCATGCTCACCCTGAGCAGGAGGGTCTGCAGGTCTTCAGCGTGAGCCCACTGCTCAAAAACACCATCCAAGGTCTCCACGTACCAGGAGCCGCTCTTGGGATTTCTCCAGGAAACAAAGCCTTCAGAACAGACGGGCTGGACTTCACCGGGGAGCCGCTAGCCACCCCCCCCCCCACTCAGGCTGCAGCCGCCCCTGGACTTGGGCCCACTCACAAGTCCCGCAGTCGCCGCCCACATCCCTGCGCTCCGTCCCGTTCAGGACCCCACTTGCCCCTCACCCCTGGACTTCGGCCGTGATTCTTGCCTTCCCAGCAAGGAGAACAAGGCTCCCAGAAGTCAAGTGACTCACCCAAGGGCTCAGAAAGGAAGGAAACTAACGCTCATCACACCTGCTGTGCGCCAGGCACTGTGCTCGGTGATGGACTGGCCACCCCGCTAACCCCAGGGCAACCCCGGAGGCAACTGCAACAGCAGCAACTGCTGCCTGTGTCTCTGCCCATTTTAAAGATGAGAAGACCAACAAGGCAGGACCAAGACAAGGGTGGGGCACACAAGCCCAAGAGCAGGTGCCTCTTAAATTCTGCATCCCAAGTGCCTCGCCTGCTCGCCCTGAGCTGAGGCCCTGAGAGGCGAAGTCATTTGCTCAGGGACACGCAGATGGCAAGAGGTGGAGCCAAGATTCACACCCAGGTCTTTCTTTCCCAACACGCCGCTTCTAGGGCAGACGGGGACCCGCCCGCCGGCTGGGAGGACGAGGTCTCCTGACACGCTCACCTGGGAAGGTGGAGTAGGATACAAAGATATCACTGGGAGTGGGCAAACTAGACACGGCATCCAGCTGGTCAAAGGGGCCTGGGCCTTCCTGGAACGGGACAGCGTCTGGCTCAGAGTCACTGCCAGGGCTCCTGTCTTCAGGGGAAGCGGAGGCCACCGCAAACCCATGGTCTTTCTGCTCTGCAGGAACCAAAGACAGACACATCACTCACCACTGATGACACAGACCAGAGCTCCCAATTCCTCGCTTCCTAGCCACGTCCGGCCTGCCCCAGCCTGACACCCCCCGATTCCCCTGGAGCCAGGGTTCCAGGGCTGAGCAAACATCAGCAAGAAACAGAAACCAAGGCTTTATTTAAAAAACAAAACAAAAAAAGATTGATTGATTTGAGAGAGGAAGAGAGCGTGCATGTGCAAGCCAGGGAGGGGCAGAGGCGGAGGGGGAGGGGGAGCATCTGAAGCAGACTCCCTGCTGAGTGCAGAGCCTGATGCAGGGATCTATCTCTCAACCCTGAGATCATGACCTGAGCTGAAATCAAGAGTCAGACCAACTGACTGAGCCACCCAGGCGCCCCCAAAGCTTTACTTTTTTTTTTTTTAATTTTTTTTTTTATTTATTTATGATAGTCACAGAGAGAGAGAGAGAGAGGCAGAGACACAGGCAGAGGGAGAAGCAGGCTCCATGCACCGGGAGCCCGATGTGGGATTCGATCCCGGGTCTCCAGGATCGCGCCCTGGGCCAAAGGCAGGCGCCAAACCGCTGCGCCACCCAGGGATCCCCAAAGCTTTACTTTTTACTCTAAGTTTTACATGTTCATTAAGCAAAACTGGGGGGAGGGGGTGCAGAATTTTTTTTAAAAGCTGCAAAAACAAGTTATCAGGTATATACCCAAAAGGACAGAAAACGGGTGTCCAACCAAAACCTTGCATGGCAGTTCATGGCAGCATCATCCACAACAGGCAAATGGTAGAGATGACCCGAGTGTCCACTGACAGATGAACGGATAAACAAAATGTGCTGCACACACCCCACGGGATTTCATTCAGGCTCGAAAAGGAGCAAAATACTGGTCCTCATGCACTTGGGGGGGGTGGGCTGGAAACATGTTGAGCCAAGAACCAGATGCAGAAGGCCATGGAGCAGGTTCCATTCATGTGAGAGACCCAGGACAGGCAAATCCACAGAGAAGAAAGGGAGGCGGGAGGGGGGAGTGAGCACTGATGGGTATAAGGTGTCATTCAAGGTGACGAGAAAGTTCTAGCATGAGGTAACAAGGATGCACGCAGGTACTCACTGCCATTGAATTGTATACTTTAAACTGGTTAAAAATGATCAACTTGGGGATCCCTGGGTGGCTCAGTGATTTAGCGCTGCCTTAGGCCCAGGGCATGATCCTGGAGACCCGGGATCGAGTCCTACGTCAGGCTCCCTGCGTGGAGCCTGCTTCTCCCTCTGCCTGTGTCTCTGCCTGTCCTCTCTCTCTCTCTGTGTCATGAATAAATAAACAAAATCTTTAAAAAAAAAAAAGATCAACTTTATGTCATTTGAAAACAAGTCACATTATGGCCTTAAAAGGCAAGGACATCCTGACACACATTGCAAGGGACGAACCTGGAGAACATGACGCTCAGTGAAATAAGCCAGTCACAGAAAGACACACACTGCCTGCCTCTAAGTACGGGAGGTGCCTACAGTAGTCAGACGTATAGACAGCAACACAGCAGTGGTTGCCGGGGATCCCGGGACCCGGGGTGGGGGGCAGAGCAGAATGGGGAGTCACTGAGAAGCGCTCTGGAGGTGGATGGGGGACACGCTGCACACCAGTGCTTAATGCCACTGAGCCAAACACTTAAAAATGGTTCAGAGGGTAAATCTTATGTGTGTCTTACAACAATACTTCTAAAAAAATTTTTTTTTTAAAAAAAAGGACACAGGCCAGTACACCAAGTGAGATGCATTCAGCATACATTCATCGGACGGAGAGGTGAGAGCTGTCTGGGGGGGAGACACAGCGGTCGTTAAGAGGCCACCTTGGAAGAGTGGGGGTGAGCAGAGGACGTTTACTTTTCAGCTCAATCCACCTCAGAAGGTTTGATTTGGTTTTTCTCTTCCTGGTTTTTTAATGATCATGAACTACGTTTGGTCTCATGAGGTTACCGACCAATATTCTCTATGTTGACCATTTTGCAGCCAGTTGCTTTTTTTTTTAACCGTATTCACGGCCTCTTCTTTGACACACATGAAGTCTCAACATGATGATTCTAATCAACATGAAGCCCGGCCACGTGGGCAGCAGCCAAGGCCCACCGGGGTGGACGGTGCGCTCTGTCTCCCTCCGGCCCTTTGTAGATTTGGCCTTACTTGGTCATTTGCAGGTTCAACGAAGTACGCTGTATCCCCTTATCACAACATCACGAGGACTTGCCACAGGATATTACAAAGCCTTCTTTAAAATCCTGGTTTATGACCCCAACAGCAGGTGCGCACACACACACGGAGTACCCCTGGGGCACAGAGCACCCACATGGGCACCAAAGAAGACACAAAAGAACAAGATGGGGTCTTGCTTTCTGGGGAGCTGAACACCCAAACAGAAAAAAAAAACTCAATGTACACGAAGTATTAGATTTTAAAAAATGATATAGAACTGGGACACCTGGGCTGTTCAGCGGTCGACCATCTGCCTTTGGCTCAGGGTGTGACCCCAGGGTCCTGGGATCGAGTCCCGCATCGGGGTCCCTGCACGGAGCCTGCTTCTCCCTCTGCCTGTGTCTCTGCCTCTCTCTCTGTGTCTCTCATGAGACATTTATTTATATAAATAAAATCTTTAAAAAAGTGATATAGAACTCTTTTCTCTCCTTCTTGGCAGGGGAACTGGGGGCAGGCAGGGACATAGTCAAGGAAACTATCCGTTGTTATCAGCGTGCCCTCCCTTTCAGACAACCAAAGGGAGAAAAATTGCCATTCTTGGCTTCTGTCTTCTGAATACCAATAAGGCGGACCTTTGTCACCTTGCCTCAGCCCCTCGAAAGCATAAAGCCAGATACGGGTCACCTCTAGCAGGCATGCAGGATGTCACAACATGCATTTCTAGACTCCAAATGTACTCTTCTCCTGTCCTCATGTCTCCACTTCCTCCCTTGTTATTTTGTTCTACTAAATCCCTTGTATTCACTAAACTATCTCAGATCTTTATAGGGCATCAAAGAAGGCATCAAGCCATAGGTCACGGGATCTGTGGAGACACTTACACCTTCTGACCCTGTACTTTCCTGGGGAAATAATTCAAGTGACGCCAACGCCCTCTATGTAAAGACATTTGTGGTCATGGGAGCCAAAAATTAGATATCCACCTCAGCGGCCAACATGAGGGAAATGGATTAGTGAGTGCATGTCACTAAGATGGAACATTATGAAGCCATTTGAACTAATGGTGATGAAGACCATGGAGATGTGAAGAAATGCTCACGGGCTAATGCAGGATGAGAAAAGCAATGTGCCCGAGGGCCACGATCCACAGGTAAGAAGCAGAAATGAGACAGCTGGGTCAGGCTTGTAAGATCCTGGATTATCTCTGCACTCACATTTTATGTCTTTTAGTTTCAAAATCTGAATTCCTCCCAAAGCAGTGGCAGACTTGGAAACTAGAGGGGTCAAGGCAGGACTTGGGCCACATACAGCTCCACTGTACGGGGCAGTGACATGGTGAGAGGTCTCCTGCGATGAACTCCAGGGAAGCAGAGCTCACTGCAGGGAGCAATGGGCTACTCCAGAGAGAAAGCAGCTATAAGGAGCTTCAGTAGAAGCAGAGGGCAGAGTGACACAGAGGGTTCCTTAGGGAATGGTTTCTGGGACAGATGACTATGACCCAGGCTCTGATAGAAGAGGAATAGTCCTGATGGGAGAAGCAGCACATCAGGCAGGCCCCGGCAGGAGAGCAGGAGGGTTTGTGTGGCTGGATCTGTGGGGGGCAATAGCAAGGAGGGGAGGAGGTCACAGATCACCCGGGGAAGCTGGGGTTCCATCTGCAGGGAGCTAGAGATGGGACAAGGAGGGTTCCAGCAACCCCATATCATAGCCCCAACATCTATTGACCTCTCACCCCATACATCTGACTCAGAAACTGGGCAATTTGTCTTTGTTCTCACAGCTGACCTTCAGGGGCCAGGATCCTGCCCTACATATGTTGCCTCTCAGCTATGCTGCCTCTTCCATGGAGGCCCCCGAGCTTGCAAAGGGGGTTTCTGAGACCTGTGAGGGCTGGACTGTTGCATACTTACTCAGGTCCCTGCAAATGGTTTTCTTGGCCGAGATTCCAGCCCCTGGCTGTCTGGGACCTGAGGTGTGGATGGCTGGGGTCGGGGGCACTGCACTGGGGGATGCTGTAGGAATGCCCTAAGGAGGCAGAGGGGGGCAGAGGGACCACCTGGGGAAAGCGGAGAAGATAAAGTGGGATCCAAGAGGGGACTACAAGTGGGGGAGAGAGAGAGAGAGAGAGAGAGAGAGAGAGAGAGAGAGAGAGAGAATGAGTCACACAAGGGATGTGAACCCGTCTCCATTCACATGTCCTCCTCATTTGACAAATCTGATGTGAAAGCCTCGCCCACGGGTTATGGACGTGATGCACAGCTGTGTTCTTAAAGAGACTCTCAGATTCAAAACCCCCTTGGAAGGCAGGCTAACTTCCCCGAAAGACTAAATGCACAGCCGGAGGAGAAGCTGTCCCCTCAGCACAGAAAATCTACAACCACACAAACATTGTGCTTCCTTCTGTCTTCTCAGCAAATTTCTAGAAGTCTGAAGAGGGGTTGCCCCAAAATGCCCTCACAGAGGCCGCTCAGCTCCGGCCAAGGGCATCGTGCTGGGTCACGCCGTATCATGCTACTTACCCAGTGACTTGCCGCACCAGCGCTACCAACACTGAGGCGCCTGTTTCTGCCCTGGGATGTGCGCTGCCGCTTATGAAAGGGGTGCGTGACTTGTCAAAGGATTTTAAAATTGTTTGAAATTGTTACACAGCGAATTTTGCAAAAGCAACACAAGTGCCACAGAAATCCAGGGCAGATGTTCAGATGCCGGTAAACAAGAGGACACTCAGCCCGAAGGGGACGCAGACAGTGGGCAGCTCAGCATTTCTGTCCTCGGCGGCAGTCCTGCCCCCAGGTGGCTACAGTGTGACACACAAAGTCAACAGCCACCCGGGGGGCGGAGCAGAGACCACAGTTCCAAAGGCAGCATCATAATCACTGCATTCCAGCTCTGAAATCCCTGTTCCCATCGAGTTTTTTTCTTTTCTTTTCTTTTCTTTTCTTTTTTCTTTTCTTTTCTTTTCTTTTTTTAGTGGAGGGAATCTCTATCACTTAAAATCTTGCTCACAGTAATTTTCACATGGTTCTATTTCAAAATCAAATCATTAGAATCCACAAAAGATACAAGCATCCTGTGAGCTTTGTGCCAGGCTGGAGGGACCTGGGTGAAGGACAGACGGAACTAGCCCTGCCTTAGGAAAGCTGACCAGGGGGTGAGGCCATCTCAGTACAAGGAGAAAGAGCCAGGAGGGGAGAACAGAGGCTGCAGGAGACAAAGACCAGCTAACCCTGACTCTGTGCAAGGAAGGGGGGGTTTACGGGAAGACTTCCTGGAGGCAGAGACAATTAGCTGTAACTGGAAGGATGGGTTAGCAGTAGGCCAGCAGGGGTGCCTGGCTGGCTCAGTCATTGAGCACGCAACTCTTGATCTCAGGGTCAAGCCCCATGTTAGATGTAGAGATTACCTAAAAAAAATAAAATCTTAGGGGCATTTGGGAAGCTCAGTCAGTTAAGTGTCCAACTCGTGGTTTTAGCTCAGGTGGTGGTAATCTCAGAGGCGTGAGATCAAGCCCTGAGTCAGGCTCCATGCTCAGCACGAAGTCTGCTTCAGGTTCCCTCTCCCTCTGCCCCTTCCCACCATGCACATGCTGTCTGTCTCTGTCTCTGTCTCTCTCTCTCCCTTTCTAATAATAAATAAATAAATAAATAAATAAATAAATAAATAATAAATAAATACTTTTTAAAAATAAACAAGTAAAAAAAATAAAATCTTAGAAAACAAAACAAAACAGAGTAGGCCAGGGGTCAAGGCAGAGGGATGGACATGGAAGGCTGAGGAGCAAGCCAGCACCTGTGACACCCTCAGAGAGTTGAAGAACGCTGGGGTGGAACACGGCATGCCAGGCTGGGGGACGCAAAGTGGCCTAGGCCAGATCCCCAAGGACCTGGTGGGCCCACGAGGGCATCCAGAATGTGACCCTGCAGGCCCTCCGCACTGCTGAGAATGGACAACGAGGAGGCATTGAGCTAGCTGTGACCTTCCCAGAACGCTGACGTCCCAGCTCACCCTTCATCCATGGTTCCCTTGCCCGCATCACCTTCCATTCTACTCACACAAGAGAGAAGAGCCATTTGCTTCAGGGTAAGAACACCTTACACATTCTGACCACACATTCTGGATCGTAAGAAAAACAATGAGCTGGAGAGGATTTCTACAACCCCGAGAGCAGCAGCCTTTCCACTTTCCTAGTACCATAACTCTGAGGTAACTGTGCCGAGGACAGGGGGGGCTCCTGTGTGACACAGGGTCCTTTGGGGTCAGAGGAAGGGGAGAGTCCAGGTTTGCAGTTCCAAAAATGAACTGGGCACTGTATTAAGTGCTGTACATGCACTGGTTCAAGCGCTGGATATTTCACAGTGACGCTAGAAGGTAGGCTCTGTTATCATCCCCACTTGCCAAGACTTCTAGAGATTAACCGACCACTGTTCGTGCAGGAAGGAAGCAGCCACCAAGACTGAACCTGGTGTTCCTAATCACTCATGGCCAAGTTATGGGCATGGGTCGTGACAGTGAGGTGATACAGTTCCAGTCAAATTATAAATCCCCAGCACCTAACCCACAGCCCAGTGTATACAGCAGATATTCAACAAACACTTCCCAGATGTCATGCGACCAGACAACCCACACTCCCTCACCTTACCCCTGCCAAGGTGGAACAGTACTGGGCAGAGGAACACGGTCAGAAGAATGTGCTACTGGGGCGTGTGGGGGGCTCAGTCAGTTAAGCATCTGACTCTTGGTTTCAGCTCAGGTCACGATCTCAGGGTCCTGGGGTCAAGCTCCATATAGGGCTCCCCACTCAGCAGGGAGTCTGCTTGTCTCCCTCTCTCTGCCCAGCACCCCACCCCCCACCTGCCACTCACATGCGTGCACATGCTCGCTCGCTCGCTCTCTCTCGCTGTCTCTCAAATAAATCTTTAAAAAATAAAGAATATGCTACAGGTAAAAAAATAATAATAATAAAAAATTTTTTTAAAAAGAATATGCTACAGGTCATGATCTCAGAGTCCTCGAATGGAGCCCCACCTCGGGCTCTGCGTGAATATGGAGCCTGCTTGGGATTCTCTCTCTCCCTCTCCCCCACCTCGTGCTCTCTCTCTTTTAAAAAAAAAAATATATATATATATGGGCAGCCCGGGTGGCTCAGTGGTTTAGCGCCGCCTTCAGCCCAGGGCATGATCCTAGAGACCTGGGATCGAGTCCCATGTCAGGCTCCCTGCATGGAGCCTGCTTCTCCCTCTGCCTGTGTCTCTCTGCCTCTCTCTCTCTCTGTCTCTCACGAATAAATAAATAAAATCTTTTAAAAAAATAAAAATAAAATAAATATATATATAAGAAAATTTTATACATATAAATATATTTATATTTATATATATAAATATAAGTATATTATATTTATATATATATAAAATTTCCAGTACCTGGCCCTTGGGAATTCTAATACTAATTTAGCTCTGGCCTCCCTTTCACTGGAACAGTGAAAAGAGGGTCTAATTGAAGAAGGTTAGGGGAATGATAAGGAAAACAAAAGAGGTTTTTCTCTCTCCTCTGCTCTGTGGTTGCCAAGTGTCTGGAGTTGAAGCTGCCAGAGCTGGGTGAGCCCATGGGGCTCCTACACCGTGAGCCGGAAGGCTCCGACCTCTACAGGCTGGACAAAGCTGGACAGGTGCTGCTGCTTTGGACAAAGTAGGCATGTTTGGGACCCTCCAACTGCCTGGACAGACCTCTGGGACATCCAGAGGGGTTGGAGATGGGGGCAGGGGTGGCTCTGCCCACTAGACCACTAGCGTCATCTGCGGGGAGCATGAGGATGCACTTACCCCCACCACAGGCCTGGATAAAGAAGAGCTTGGGCTTCCCTCCCAAGCTGGGGCAGCCAGTTCCATTGAAGATATTCACAATTTTCTCAATGGACACAGGACATCCATCTGTGCCATAAACGGCCCCTGGGAACTGGCGGTGGCTGGCCTGGAAGACCAAGAGAATCCTGATTACAAAGCCAAGAAGTTGGGGTGGGTCCAATAACACTGCTCAGAGGCTTTGTAGGGCCAAGCAATTAAAAGGCCCCAGCCAGGGGCACGAGGCTGCTTTAGACAGTGGGTGGTTCTGGATGGGCCCCGGGTCAGCATCTAGTCTAGAGGTCTCAGACTCATGTGCCTCCAACAGCCTAACTGGAGACTGCTGGCCAGCTGCTTCTAGATCGGTGGTTTTCAAAGTGTGGTCCCTGGACCAGGGGCATCAGCATTGCCTGGGAACCTGTACAGCGTGCTGATTCCTGGGCTCTACACAGACCTACGTCAGAAACCTTGGTGGTGGGGACCAGGAATGTGGTTTTTCAGGAGCCTCTGATGCAGCTGAGCACTGAGAAACACTCTAGATCAGTTCTTCTCAAACTTTCTGCATAGGGGGACCCTGTCAAAGTGTAGGCTCTCTGGGAAGAGGTCTGGGGCAAGGCCTGAGAGTCTGAATCTCTCAAGAGTTCTTGGTGAGGCCCGTCCTGCTGGTCCAAGGGTCACACCAGGAATGAAAAGGAGCCATACAAAAAAAGAAAAGAAAAGAGAAGAAAAGAAAAGAGAAAAAAAAGAAAAAAGAAACAAAAGAAAAGAAAAGAAAGAAAAGAAAAGAAAGAAAGAAAAGAAAAGAAAAGAAAAGAAAAGAAAAGAAAAGAAAAGAAAAGAAAAGAAAAGAAAAGGAGCCATATAGGCCAGAGTTTCCCTCTGTGAGGATGCGGCCTAGTAAGGCCAGACCACTGTGGTTTTTCAAGAGAAGCTGGAAATGTTGATTTCTGTGAGTAAATTGCCAGTCTTGAAAACACTGTGCCACCCTCAGGGGGGCTGTAGGCCTTTAGCTTGGAGCTTCTGATCTGTCCAACCCTCAAATGAAAAGATGAGGAAGCTGAGGCCCAGGCAGTGGGAGGGGCTGGGCCACAATGACCCAGCACATCAGTGGCCAACCCCAGAGTGAGTCCCAGTGTCCTGACACCCAGCCAGTGGCAAAGGGCTGGTACAGCGCCTGGTGGGACCAAGGCAGGAGCTGGGAGCTCCTGTGTGCCATACCCGGCTCTGAACAAGATCCAGGGCAGGAGTTCTGTGAGCAGCACCTGTGTCCTCCCTGCCTCTCCCAGATGGCCTCTCCCAGGAACACCCCCCCACCCAGGGGGAGCATTCAAGTCCTCAGAGGGCCTGAGGACTCCCAGGAAAACAACAGGGGCTAGATAGGGCCCATGGCTCTTCTCACAAAGCCCAGGGTGTCGTGGACACAGGAAGGGACGGGGCTCCTTCCTGGCACCTCAGAGCAGCACTTCTGGGTGGCTGCCCAAGGAGCCACCACCTCTACCTGCCTCACAGCCGTGGGACAGGACAACCACCACGCAGCAGTCCAGAGCGCTGTGGTCCCGCCGTGCCAGCTCCACCAAAGCCTGGACCATTTGCTACAAGAGAAGGTTGCAGGTGAGCCATCGTGTTGATGGATCGGGTCCCCACACGGGGCCCCCACCAGGGCAGAACGCCTTCCCTGCTCCCAGGGCCAATGCTGCAGTGATGACCGTCCTGACAGTCACAACCGCCACCGGCCTTGGGGACAAGGTGCGGCACTCGGCCCGGCTCAGGCCCTCCTCACACTGAGCCGAGGACGTGAGGACCACTCCTGCCATCTGGACGAGGAAGCGACCGCACAGGGACACACGGCGGGGAGCGGGCGACACCCTGAGTGTGTGGCCGGTCCTGACATGGCCCCTGCAGGCGCTCCAGTCGTGGGTCCTGTTGGGGGTCACAGGCCACCACCCGCCCCCCGCCCCCTCCTAGGCCAGGGGCCTACCTTGGCCGTCAGGTCCCGCTTCACCTCCACCGTGAACCGCAGCAGACAGAAGCGTCGCTGCAGCTTCTCGCAGTCGATATTGGAGCCGCCGCGGGCCGTGAGCCTCGATTCGGGGCAGAAGTTCACGTTGTTGATGATGAGGCAGTAGCCACAGGGGTCTGCGTTCAGGGCGTACGCCTGCCCAGCACAGGGACCAGGGTCAACCAGGGCGCCGCCGCGCTCCTCAGGACAGAATGGGGGGCCCCTGGCTGCATGCATGTGGTGGGCGGTCTGGAGAGATGGAACAGCAAAGGGGACCTGGGGGCGCCTGGGGGGCTCAGCAGTGGAGTGTCTGCCTTCAGCTCAGGGCGTGACCTCGGGGTCCTGGGATCGAGTCCCGCATAGGCTCCCTGCTCAGTGGGGAGCCTGCTTCTCCCTCTGCCTCTGCCCTGCTGCTCTACCAATTTGTCCCCCCTCTCTATCAAAATAAATAAAATATTAAAGAAAGAAGAAGAAAGAAGAAAGAAAGAAAGAAAGAAAGAAAAGAAAAGGGGGCTTGTCCTCCCTCAGACAGAGCAGCAGCATCTACGCCCCACATTCTAGCACCAAAGCAGACTGTAAACCAGGTGGGCATGAGCAGGAGGGGTATGATGTACAGACAGCTAACGTGGGAGGGAAGACCAGCTCCCACAGCAGCATCCAGCTTAGGAATCCAACACCCAGAGGCACTTGCCCCCAAAGGAGCTGATGGATTGCCCCACCCAGGGAAGCTCCTGAGAACCCTGTGGGTGGCTTCGTCAGCAGACTCCTGCCCAGGCCCACCCGTGGAGCGCAGATGCCACTTCCCAGCCAGGCTCCCCGTCCCCCGGGAATCCTCTCTCACAACAGCCTGCTCTTTTTTTCATGACACTTGACACAATTTAGATTTAGGTATTTCTTGGGCAGCCCGGGTGGCTCAGCGGTTTAGTGCTGCCTTCAGCCCAGGGTGTGATCCTGGAGACCCGGGATTGAGTCCCATGTCTGCTTCCAGCATGGAGCCTGCTTCTCCCCCTGCCTGCTTCTCCCTCTGCCTGTGTCTCTGCCCCTCTCTCTCTCTGTTTCTCAAATAAATAAATAAAATCTTAAAAAAAAAAGAAAAAGATTTAGGTATTTCTTTGGGTAACTAGCCTCTGCTAGGCTGATGGCTCCACAGGGATTAGAAACACAAGGGGTCTGCTCTCAGGTATCCTGGCCTGGAGCCCAGTACTGACGCCCAGGAGTCACACAGCAAATGCTGTAAACAAGAAGGAGTGACTCGGTCCCAGGGCCAATTTGGATGCCCACCTCACGTTAGGTCTGACCCCTGACTTCAGACAAGGAAAGAGCAGGGAGGCTTGGACAGCCTGCTCCAGGAAAGCTGTGCTAGAGGCAGGGAGCTGTAGGGGGCCTGGGACCCTCTCTCAGGGCTCCGTTCCCTGGGCTCCAGAGGCAGCTGCAGAGGGAAGGATCTGGAAAGTGCAGAGCATTAGAGCCCAAAGCCAAGTCACAGGAAGACTCACCAAATCACCATTTCCCTTGGAAATCTCCTGAACACCTAGAGAGAGAGGGAGGGGGGGAGGCATGAATGGCTGGCCCCTTGGGGGGAGGCAAGGGTCTTTGAATACAAAAGAACAAGAACCTGGGAAACATCAGGCAGTGCTGGTGGGAGTCTAGGGGCACAGCCACCTTGCAGAACTGCTCAGAAGTTTCCAGTGAGGGAATCTGGGTGGCCTTTGGCTCAGGGCATGATCCCAAAGTCCTGGGATCAAGTCCTGCATCAGGCTCCCCACAGGGAGCCTGCTTCTCCCTCTGCGTGTGTCTCTGCCTCTCTCTCTGTGTCTCTCATGAATAAATAAATAAAATATTTAAAAAACAAAAAGCAAACAAACAAAAATAAGTCTCCAATAAAGTTAAACACACACCTATCGTCTGATCAGCAGTTCCATTCCCAGGTTTCTACCCAATAGAAATGAGTGCAATGGACACAAAAAGACCTGGCCATGGATGATCACTGAGGCCTTATTCTTTTTTTTTTTTTAAAGATTTTATTTATTTATTCATGAGAGACAGAGAGAGAGGCAGAGACACAGGCAGAAGCAGAAGCAGGCTCCGTGCAAGGAGCCTGATGCAGGACTCAATCCCAGGACCCCGGGGATCACGCCCTGAGCCAAAGGCAGATGTTCAACCACTGAGCCTCCTAGGTGTCCCTCTTTTTTTTTTTTTCTTAAAGATTTTATTTAGTTATTTATTTGAGAGACAGAGAGAACACATGCACATGCTCACATAAGCGGTGGGGGGGGGGGGAGCTGCAGAGAGAGAGATGGAAGTCTGCTTCTCCCCGCTGAGCAGGGAGCCCAACGTTGAGGCTCCATCTCAGGACCCCAGGATAATGACCTGAGCTGAAGTCAGACAGTTAACCGACTGAGCCATCCAGGCGCCCCACTGAAGCTTTATTCTTAATGCCCAAAGCAAGAAACAACCCAAATGTTCATCAACAAGTTGACGGATAACAATTTATGAAAAAAGCCATGTAAGGGAACACTCCACAGCCTGAAAAGGAACGAGGTACCTACACATACAATGCCGTGGAAAATACGGAACATTATGCCAAGGAAAGAAGCCAGAGAGTATACGTGGTGTGATTCCATTCAAGTGAAATTCTAAAACAGAAAGGCATAAATAAGGGAAGCTCCAGGAGAACAGACGCTTCCTGTCTCTAGAACCCATGGAGCCCAGCACCCAGAAAGTCCTCAGCAGATATTTGCAGAATAAATGAGTCAAGGTGGTCATTTTTTCCATCAGTGTCAAACGAGTTTTCATTTCAATTCATTTCATTTCATACAAGTCCCCTGACCACCAGTCTATAATATAGCAGGACTTTTTTTGTTCTTTAAACAAAAAGAACTTGGTGGCTACCTCTGAGTTCTGGTGCAAGTTTAGTTGCACTGGAGCCTATGCTTGTGATCCTACAATGGTCCCATTCATTGCTCACAGAGGGCCAGGACCCCTTGCTGGGAACTAATCTCTGAAGAGTTTAAAAGCCACACCAGAAAAGCATTCACATCTCATTTCTTAATTGGAAACGGTTTTACCTATCTGACGAATCCTATAGTTCATAGCCTCAATCTGAAACTGTAGCTCATTTCCAAAATCCCACTGTACCCCCAAAACTGTAACTATTACCCACAACTGAAAAATTCTTTCATTCCCCAAATTAGTAGTATCAATCCACAAAGTGAGAGACGGACATCATCAAAATGGCACAGTAAGAGGGGCACCTGCGTGGTTCAGGCAGTTAAGCATCTGCCTTCAGTTCAGGTCATGATCCCAAGGATCCTGGGATCGAGACTCATGTCCAGGCTCTCCCTACTTGTCCCTCTCCCTCTCCCTGCAACTTCACCTGCTTGTACATGCACACACGTGTGTGTGCACACATGCTCTCTCAGTCTCTCTGTCAAATAAATAAAAAAATTTTAATGACATAATAAGAGTTTTCAACTGCCTTCCCAGACAATGAACACCAATTCTGACAATCATCCACAAGTGAGAATGACTTTGTGTAAGTCCAGGCATTGAGTAGAGAAGTTCCAAAACACTGCTGGTGCAAAAAAAAAAATCTGAGATTGGATGCACTAAAGAGGTCAGTCAGCAAGGACTGGAGGAGCTGACTCTTCTTCAAATGTGAAGCCAACACATGACTTCAAAAAACATGAAAATCAAGGAAATAGGACACCACCAAAGGAGCACAATGATTTTCCAGAAAGCAACCCCCCAAGAAATAGAAACCTGCAATGCGCCTGATAAAGAATTCAAAATCGCTGTCTCAAGGAAGCTCAGCAAGCTACAAGAGTATATACAAAGACAATTCAACAACAGGAACAATTCAACAACATCAGGAAAACAACATATGAACGAGATAGAAATCCTAAAAAAAAGAACCAAATGGTTCTTTTTCTAGAGCTGAAGAATGCTATGAATGAAATGAAAAATGCAACAGACAACACTGACATCAGACTTAATCACGCAGAAGAATCTGTGAAGTAGAAGACATATCATTTGAAGTTACCGGCAGAGAACAAAGAGAAAAGAACCAAGAAGATGAAGAAAGTCTACATGAATCATGATTTATCTTGAAAAGAAACATCTATGCGTTACTGGAATCCCAGAAGAAAGGAAGAGAGGGAGAAAGGGGCAGTGGGCTTATATAGAAAAATAATGGCTGAGAACTTCTGGGGAAAGATCTGGATATCCAAGGTCATTAACTTCATAGGTCCAACTACCCACCAACCACTCTCTTGGTACTCACAGACGTCACTGAATGGTCCAGAACCATTGTCCGTTGGCCTGGGCACCAATGGTCTGACAACCTGTGGCTGGAGCTCAGCTGGCCCCAGCACCACCGGAGCGAGTTTTCCTGGAGTCAGCTTTGATGGATCCTTCCCTCTGAGATCCTCTGGTGTGAGTCTCGTTGGTCCAAGCACCACAGGCATGAGGTCCAGGGGTCTGGTGGCCTCTGGATTCTGCTTTACTGCTTGCCGACTCATTCTCAGGCACGAAGCCAGCGCATCCTGGCCTGTGTCCTCCAAGCAGGAAATGAACAAAGGAAGGGCCTGACTCCCTCGGGTCTCTAGATCTGTGACCAGCTGCCTGGCCTGGTCGCTCCGAGACCCCGAGCCTGCATGCTGTTTGAGAAGAAAGACGTGGCACCATTACCCATACAATGTCCTGTGACTCTCCCCCTGTCCCCCCGCCCCATTTCCCACCTAGCATAAGTCTACAAAATCAGGCACATGGACAAAACTTGAGCCTGCACTCATAGTGAGTGTGTCCCACTAGCCAGCCTCTGCTTATCTACTCATTCAGCATTTTGGAGGCATCTCTTATGAGCCCAACACCGTGCTAAGAGCTGAAAATACAGCAGTAAACATGATCAGTCCTTACGAAGCGAACATCTCGTGGGGGATGCAAACAGACAAATCAGTGGTGACACACCAAGGAGAGAAGTGTCAGATGGGAAAGCACAGGGGCCTAGGAGGGTCCACGGAAATCCACCCCAGCCTGGGGAAGCCAGGGAGGCCTCCAGGAGGGGGTGTCTTTACAGAGACCCTAGGGACCATTAGGAAGTAAACAGTGAATTCAGAGAAACGAGAAATCTAAGCTGGAATAGGAAACAGTCATGAGGGATGAGGCCTTTGTGTGGTCATGCCAAGAAAGCTGCGAGGAGCCAGTGAGGAGTTTTAAGAAAGTGACAGAGTCAGATCCACCTTTTAGAAAAATCATCGGATGGGCAGGGTGGACAACGGACAGGAGTGAGCCACAGCCAGGTCAGGTGGTGGCAAAGACGGTGTGGCAGGAATCGAGAAGCGAGGGGACGGGCCAGAAAAATAAATGAAGGAGAATGCACAGATCTGTGGGCTGATGGGGTGGACTGTAAAGTGCAGGAATGGCTGGGGTTAGTGAGTGGCAGGGTGGTGGGGCTGGTCACTGATACAGAGAAAAGAAGAAACTGCGCATCTGCTCGTTGTCCTCTGAGACCCAGCTCTGGCCAAGTTCCTCAGGAGCCACAGGGACGAGACACCACCCTGTCCTCAAATATCCTACAGCAGTTCTGTCCAAGGGAACTTTCTGTGCTGATGGAAATATTCTTTGCCTGCGCTGTTCAATGTGGCAGGCCTTAACCACACGTGGCTACTGAGCACTCGCGCCCTTCAACTGAGGAATCGAAGGTTCTATTTTGTTTAATATTAATTACTTCAGGGCGCCTGGGTGGCTCAGTTGGTTAGGCATCTGCCTTCAGGTCATGATCCCAGGGTCCCAGGGTCCCAGGGTCCCAGGGTCCAGTCCCACGTCGGGCTCCTTGCTCAGCAGGGAGTTGGCTTCTCCCTCTGCCCTTCCCCCCTGCTCATGAGCTCTCTCTCGCTCTCTCTCTCTCAAATAAATAAAATATTTAAAATATATATTAATTACTTCAAATTTACACTTAAATAGCCACATGTGGCTAATGGCTACTATACTGAGCAGCACAGACCTATCATTTCACGAAAAGGTAATCCTAACGAAACGGCTAGCTCCGTGCCGCATCTCAACATTTATGAGACACTGGGAGTAAGACAGGCAACGTGTTAAATGCATCGTTTCATCTAGTCTCCCTCAACAACATTAAGGGGTTAAATCACCATTATCCCCACTTTACAGAGGAGGGAAACTGAGTCTCAGTAAGGCACTGCTAATACGTAACAAAGCCAGGAGGAGGCCCCAGATCCACGTGTGGCAAAATGGCAGCCCTGCCTGAATTCGTTGCTAACATGTAACATCAGGGAATTTAGCATCAAAATCAGGGTTTTTAGCTTCTCTTTAAAAATCTGGCAACACAAGGCCAGCGTTCTGGAATGACCACGCTGAGCTGGAGGGCTGTCTGCTGCCTCTGTGGGCATTTGAATTTCTATCTGAAGGCAGGGGGATGGCCTCAAACCACTTCTGCTCCTCAGTACAGGCCCCACAGCGGCTGCTCACGAGACTTCTTTTAATGTTATTGCTCATCAGTAATTTTTCGTGTGGCACATTCTATTACAGCCTTGCTCACTAGGTTCAGGCCAAGCTCCTGGATGATGAAGAAAAGGGACATTGGGTCTGCAAGCAGGCCCCGGGGCCCTGGCCTGGGGCGTCCAGAAAGCCACAGACACAGCCCCCGGCACCTGCTGGTGGGAAGTGCCTCCTGGACCCTCCTGTCCCAGGCCTGCGGGAGGGTCCGATAAGAAAAAGGCATAAAACTGCTTTTAAAGGGAACCTCACCACCTCCGCTGGGCCATCGTGGGCTCGAGGGAGAGGGGCCCCCGGCGGGCTGGGGGCCGGGGCCGGGGGCTGGGCCGAGGCCGGGAGGGGAGCGGAGGGAGCGGAGGGGAGCGGAGGGGAGCGGAGGGGAGCGGAGGGGAGCGGAGGGCGGGGGCTCGCCGTGGGTCCAGCCTGGGGTCCGCGCGGCGGGGAGGGGCGCACCTGCATGTCCTCGACCATGGCGGCCGTGAAGAGCTCGCGGCTCAGCAGGGCGTCCCAGAGCGCGGCCACCTGCAGCTCGCGGACCAGCCGCACCCGGCACCGCCGCAGGGCCCCCCGGTCCGCCTCGTCCATGGCGGCCGGACGCCGGGCACCCCGCGGCCTCGGGGCGCTTCCGGGCCTCGGCCTCTGCGCCCCGCCTGCCGCCCCGGACCCGCCCCCCGGACCCGCCCCCCGGACCCGCCCCGGACCCGCGCGGCGCTGACCCCGCCCCCGCATCGCCCCTCCGCCCGGGCCCCGCCTCCGCCCTGGGGCTCCGCCTCCACCCGGCCCCGGACGCACCCCCGCGTCGCCGCCCCGCCCCCAGGGCGTACCCCGGATCGCCGCTCCGCCCCCAGGACACACACCCCACCCCCGCCCACCGCCCCGCCTCCGCCCTGCGGCTCCGCCTCCGCCTCCGCGCCCGCCCCGCCCCGGGCACACCCCCGAGTCTATGCTCCGCCCCCAGGCCTCCGCCCAGCCCCCAGGACATACCCCCCGGGTCACCGCTCCGCCCCGGGCACACCCTCGAGTCTCCCCCCGCCCCCAGGGCGTACCCCGAGTCTCCGCCCCGCCCCCAGGACACACCCCCGCGCCACCGCCCCGCCTCCGCCCTGGGGCTCCGCCTCCGCGCCCGCCCCGCCCCCAGGACACACCCCCGGGTCACCGCTCCGCCTCCAGGACACACACCCGGCCTCCGCCCCGCCCCCAGGACACACCCCCGGCCTCCGCCCCGCCCCCAGGACACACCCCCGGCCTCCGCCCCGCCCCCAGGACACACCCCCGGCCTCCGCCCCGCCCCCAGGACACACCCCCGGGTCACCGCTCCGCCCGGGCACACCCCCGAGTCTCCGCCCCGCCCCCAGGACACACCCCCGGCCTCCGCCCCGCCCCCAGGACACACCCCCGGCCTCCGCCCCGCCCCCAGGACACACCCCCGGCCTCCGCCCCGCCCCCAGGACACACCCCCGGGTCACCGCTCCGCCCGGGCACACCCCCGAGTCTCCGCCCCGCCCCCAGGACACACCCCCGGCCTCCGCCCCGCCCCTAGGGCGTACCCCGGGTCCCCGCCCCGCCCTCAGGGCGTACCCCGATAATCGCTCCGCCCCCAGGACACACCCCCGCGTCGCCGTCCCGCCCCCAGGGCGGACCCCGGGTCTCAACTCCACCCCCAGGACACACCCCCAGGTCGCCGCCCCGCCCCCAGAACGCACCCCGAGTCCGCACCACCCCTCCGCTTTCACAGGAACTCGGAGGGGGTCCCAGTGCTGGCAAGAGGGACGCCGTGCCTGGAGCCAGGGTTGTCTCGCGTGGTCGACTGCTCCAGCCTCGCCCACGTTAAATCCCCGTCTTCCTCCCTCCCACCCCAGCACCTCCCACAAAGGAAGACAGCAGAAGCCTCCCGGGACTCCCAGGAGTAGCGCTCACGTGCACGTTTCAAGAACAACTGCTCCTGCTTGTGGAGCATTCGCGGAGTCCCAGCCACTGCGCCGGTCACTTGGCGCTGTGCCGCCTCGCCTGGACCACAGCCCTACCGAAGGAAAACCAAACGGCATTCTTTCCCCCCGTTTTACAGACGCGGGGTGGGGACGCTGGGGCTCAACGCAGTGACCTCCGCTCAAGGTCCCAGAGGTGGTGAGTGGCACAAGGCAGTCGAGGTGCAAACCTGAGCCTGCCTCCAGTCCGCCTTGAATGCATCCTCCAGCGCATCCACGCCTCGGCTCCGGTCGTTATTGAGTCCACAAATACGCATTAAGATCCTGTCTGCGCTGAGGTCCACGCAGGCACCGAGGACCCACAGTGAACAACACACAGGCCAGGCCCTACCCTTAGAAGTTACTTGCCAGTGGGAGGAGACAGACGATGAACAATATAAAGAAATAAAAGACGTTAGTGATAAATGCAAAGGAAATTTTTAAAACGACAATAATGACAACAAGGTGGGGGTGGAATATATCAAATCCCCTTTTTCGTATCCCCAAGGAACCTATATCATTGGGTCAGTGAAAGTCTACCGCATTCGCCCGTGACTTTCCCCCGCCCTCCCCGCCACACGCACATCCCTCTCCCGCGCTGAGGGCGGTCCCAGGCACATCCTATGGCGGAGCTCGCTTTGGTAAATAAAAGAGTAGGAATCCTGGATTCCACGCCTTGGGCAGGTCCCTGCCCCCCTCCGGGCCTCAGTCTCTCCATCACTATAAGGAGAAGTCGGACTAGAAAGGCTCCCTAAGGTCCCGTCCAACTCTGAGGCTCTAGGATTCTATGAATAGGGTTAAAGAGAGCGGGGACCAGCGATTGCCTCCCCACCCTAGCAACTGTTGCTAGACGAGGGACAGCTCCCGGTAGGAGTGGAAACTCCTCCCTGGACCGGGGAGGTCTCTGAGGCATCCCATCATGCATCGGGACTTCGCCTCTCTAGGAGGCACGTTTTGGCCTCGTTGGTCACGACCATCCCTTTGGCTCCTGCCGAAGTGCGCGCCTCGTTCCTATGGCAACCGCGCCTGGTCCACGCGCAGACGGCGGGTAGCAAGGGTCAAAATAGATCCGCGACGCAGACGTCCTCGACCCGTACTGTCCGCGCTTTGGGTGAGCGGAGCCTTTAAGCGTCACGTGACTTGCCTCGCTCGTCCCCGCCCCCCTCCCCTCCCCAGGTTCCGGCCGGCGCTGGAGCGGACCGGAGGCTCCCCGCCCGGCGGACTCACTGGAGCTCGGACGCTGCAGCCGGTTGGGCCGGTGCCCTTTCCCGGTAACTCCTTCCCGGCGTGACGCGCGGAGCCGCGGGCGCGGCGGGGCAGGGCAGGCTCGGGGCTCTCCCGGCAGTTCCCCCTCGTTCCCGGTTCCCCCCCACACCCCCCCCCGCCCCGGGCCCGGGGGAAACCGGGAGCCGACAGGGCCCGGCCCGGGGCTCCGGGTGGGAGGCTTGCGACCTCCGGCGGGAGCCCAGACCTGGGGCGTGCCTCCGGGGGCGGGGGCGCTGCCTGGACCGCGGGATGCTGCCCCAGGGCGCCAGCCTACCTGTTGGGCAGGTGGTTTCCAGCCCCGAGGCCCGCACAGTGGAGCTCGAGACTGGCAGCCAAAGAACTTGGCAGCCGCCCACCTTTGGGGCCGCTCACTGGAGGCGGAATAAGGCCTCGATTGCACTGAAAAATAATAAGTATCACCTTCTGACTGTTGACCCTGTATGTTCAGCAAACCCTTTACAAATACATTTAACTCCCCTGCTGATCCTTTCAAGCTGGGGTTGGGGGTGGGGGGTATGGGTCACCTCCGTTTAGGAACGACCCCGAAGGCTTGGCAAGTTTGAGTAACTTGCCCAAGGTCACAAAGTGGTGGAGGACAGATCCCAGTCTGAGTGTTTGCAGAGCCTCTGCGCTTAACCAGGAGCAGCTACCCACCACCCCACCCCACCCCACCACCCCCGAGTCTTAGCGCTCTGTACGTGTTGCATAGACCAGAATAGGTTATAGGTTGTCCTAACAAGGAAAAAAACAAAACTGATTTGTTTTAGGGTTTTGTTCAGCGTGCACGCAGCCCTAAAAATTGGCTGTGAGATGAGTCCATTTGGTGAGCGCTCCAAGGCACCAGTTCGACTTCCACTTGTCAAAATCCGCCGCTGTCACAGCTTTGCCTGCCTTAAGTGAGGTGCCCCCACTGGACCCTTGAACCTTAAAACTTGAGTAATTCATGGGAAGTCCAGATAAATGTGACCCTTGAAAACTCACTGTGTGATAGACCACAAAGATCATAAATCTGGGCGGTGAAGGCCCATGCCATCTAATACAGCCCTGCCTTGTTCATCAGCCAACCAGGATTATTTCCGAACCCGCAGTGAATTCAGTTACCACGCTCACCAGACGTGGATCTTTAACACGTGGAGACCCTGCCTGCTCTGCATCCTTTGCCATTAATCTCCCTTCGGGTGGAAAACTAAATTTTTTTCTCGCCAGCTTTTCCTCACCTTTGGTCTCCATTTATAATAGCCGTATTGCTCCTGGTTAAATTAAAGAGCATTGTCTCAGTTTCCTTGGTCCAGTGGGTGTGGTGAGAAAGAACAGAATTGGGGCACACAGTGTCATAACCGGTTTGTTTTTGTTTTTGTTTTGAGTATCTCACTTTCGTGCTTACGCTTATTTAATCTCAAGAATGTCACCGCCATTTAATTTCATAGCTTTGCCCTTGGCAAATCTTACGATCTCGTGGGTTTATTTAGCCATGTACTCAGGGAAGTATTCTTAAGCCCTGTATTTTTTAATCTAAAGTATGATTGTCAGAATTAAGTGAAATATAGAGTATTTTGAGATGTAGTTGCCTTGATTTTCCTGTGTATGTTTTCCCACGTTTGCTTATTATTTTCTTCATCTCATTCATTTTCAATCATTTCTAAAGCTTTTCGAATCCAAGGAGTCTGGAAGGTTGCTGTTAATTCTTACCGCTCATCTTTTCATCTATGTAGTTCTTATTTGTGATATATTCAAAAAATAGTAGCAAGACTGTTGATTTGAAAAGACCTGATCAAACAGAATGACCCTTTTCCTGCCAAGTAGCTTTTGTTTGTTTTGTTTTTCATCTATATATCTTATCCCTTTACCTAATAAGGAAGACTGTCCAGGTTTCTACTGCTGAAACTCATTGCCTCTTCAATCATTTCAGCTCTGGAGAGGAAGAGAAATGGAAGTGAAAAAGTTGAGCATTTCCTGGCAGTTCTTGATAGTTCTGGTTCTGATCCTGCAAATTCTGTCTGCGTTGGATTTTGACCCATACAGAGTCCTAGGGGTCAGCCGAACAGCCAGTCAGGCTGATATTAAAAAGGCTTATAAGAAGCTCGCCCGGGAATGGTAGGTGAAACAAAGAAATAGCAGTTTAATATAAGCTAAGCAGTTTTAGTAGGGAAATGAAGCCTAAATTATGCTTAGCTTTTTTATTTGTCTCTGTTTCTATGTTCAATAAATATATACCTGTCTAAAATATTTTCTCTAGGCGAACTAATGTTCATGTTATTCTGTAATATTTAATGATAAGATCCAAAGCCTGTGTTGCTGTGAAACCCCCTTTTCAGAATTCTTTGGCCTAAAGGATTACCCTAGATACTGCTAGCATATTTAAGTAGAAGGGAGCTTTAGTTTTAAAATATGTATGTGGAAGGCAGCCTTAGTTTAAAAATATATACGTAATCAACTATGGATCAGCTAACCCATCCTCATGATATGTTATTCATAAAGTAGCTCTTTACAAGTGTCATTGCTAAAGGGAACGCCATCCAGTGCTGTTTTCTAAATTACTAATTTTAAGCTTTCAAGAAAATTTAGAGTGAAAGCTTTCTGCCCTCAATTTTATAATATTCGGAAACTGAGTACCTTACTTTTAAAAATCATCTGATAGAAAAATCGTAATTTTGGGATCCCTGGGTGGCTCAGCGGTTTAGCGCCTGCCTTCGGCCCAGGATGTGATCCTGGAGTCCCGGGATCGAGTCCCACATCGGGCTCCCTGCATGGAGCCTGCTTCTCCCTCTGCCTGTGTCTCTGCCTCTCTGCCTCTCTCTCTGTGTCTCTCATGAATAAATAAAATCTTTTAAAAAAAATAAAAATCATAATTTTACTTAGATAGGTTTTGTATTTGCTAAAGGGTATACAACCGTTTGTGAATTAGCAGGATAGCAATAAATTTAAAACTTATGTGGGATCCCTGGGTGGTGCAGCGGTTTGGCGCCTGCCTTTGGCCCAGGCGCGATCCTGGAGACCCCGGATCGAATCCCACGTCGGGCTCCCGGTGCATGGAGCCTGCTTCTCCCTCTGCCTGTGTCTCTCTCTCTCTCTCTCTCTCTCTCTCTCTCTCTCTCTCTGTGTGTGACTATCATAAATAAATAAAAATTAAAAAAAAAACATTATAAAAAAAAAAACTTATGGACAGACGTCATCAGTTTTTTCCACCAATGCTTTGGACATACCAAAAGTATCTGGATCATATAGCTGGAGGGGAGCAGCAGGAGGGGAAAGGATGGAAGGGGCAAGGATGACTAGAAGCTGGGGGAGCCAGGCACAGATAATGAAAGGTTTGGGATGGGAACGATCATTATGCACCTACTGCATGCTAGACTCCAGGTTCTATGCTTTTTATCTTATTTAAACCTTATAATTACCCTATGAAAGAGTTATTGCTGTCCCTCTTTTACCTGTGGGGAAATCTGGGCTCACTGTTAGTAAGTCTTTAATACCTCTGGGCTCCATAGCTTGACCTTTAGTGCCAATAGGTAGTTTATTGTTTTTTACTTTTTAATCACTTACCCATCAGAGCAGAAGTAGGAGTGAGTGGGTTAGTGTTGGGGCGGGCAGGAAGTTATGCAGGAGCAAAGCTGCCACATGCAGATGACATTTCAGGCTGTGCATGACTCTGCCTGACACCATTATTCTTCCAGTGAAAGATGTATCTTAGTTTTAAACTGGTTGCAATAAAGGTAAAAGATAGTCTAAAATATGTTTTGAATACATAAATATTTTAAACCAAACTTCTGTCACAGAGAATCCAGAATTTGATATTAAAAACACAATCTGATTATGTGTGGCCTCTTTCCAGGGACTCTCTTTACAGCAAAATTGCTTTCCACATCGTTTCAAACTGTTGCCTCTTTATATTTAAAACAAAATACATAAATCTGCAATAAATTCATGAGGTATCAGCATTCCTTTGGACAGAGTACAGGCCTTTGGCAACATTTTAAAAGCAGAAATGATCGCTTGAGTATGTGGGATTTTTTTTAAATGTACAGCTTTGACTTTTCTGTCTTCCAGAGCTGAAAAGGGTATTATGATATTAATTAAATGAGTCATATGCTTCTCTTACTTAATTAGATTCTCTCTAGGAGTCATTCATCACCTTAGAAATACAGAGAGTATCATCCAGGGAAAGTCTAAAATTTTACTTCACCTTTATATTTTCACTGTGTTGTTCCTCGTTGCTGTTTTGGCTGTGGCAGTGTTTTATCCCTCAAATTGTTGGTTTCATTTCATGATGGCTTCATACCCACTGAAAATAGCCGTGCTTCCCAATTTGACTTTTCAGGATGAATTGCAGCTGGGGGAAGCGGTTAATCATTGAATTGGATTTGTAGCTCTCCTCTCCTAGGTTTTACTACCAAGTAATGTTTCTTAAGCTTCTCAAGAGCTTCCCCCTTCCTTGGTGAAACCATTTAAAGTCACTTTTTCTTTCAGGAAAACTATGTCTCTCTCCTAATAATTGAGTTTTAGCGTAAGTTGCTTATCTTTTATCATTTACATTGGCAAAAATAAACACCCTCACATCCCAAGAATAAGGCATCCTAAAATTTGATCGGAAGCAAATGGGTATAACATAGTCAGTCCCCGGAACAATGAAACAATTTGTCTACTACTTCTCTGTGTTACTTTTTCTACAGCCAGTAGATACCAAGTACAGTATTTTCTTCACTTCCAGATTTAAAGGAGGTGTATCATATTGCATTTGGTGAAATGTTTCCTACACCCTGAAAATAGTATTGGGCAGTACTTTCCTAGAGCCAGATTTATCCTTTTCTACATGTTTGCCACCTCGTGGTAGCGTCCTGCAATTAGGAAAATATTCCTTATAACCTGAAACTGTCTTGTGGTTTCCTCCCTGTTCTCTGGCCTTGGTTTTGTCTGCGTCAGGATCTGTGGTTCTAACCCAGCCTCCCTCACAGCCCTCTCCTTGGTTTGGTCTCCTTCAAAAGCCCCCTTCCAATCCTTCTCCCCCTACTGTGTTCTCTACGTTAAATCTTCATTTGTGTGATTGCATAATTTTTCTCTTTTCAGCCGTTAGCCTAAGTTTGAATATTTAAAACACTTTTTTTTTTTTTTGTCATCCAGAAACATGCTTTGGAACCACCATCTTATTTCCTTACATCATACTTTTTTCATTATACTCAGCTGAGTTGTTTTTTTTTCCCAGTAATACTCATAATAAGGACTAAATAGTTAGGGGAGGAATGATGTTAAAACTCAACAACCAACCATTTGCAATTTATTTTTAGAGAAATCAGAATATGTGGTATCATTCATTCAATGTAGTTCCTTCCAGAATAAGGTTGATCAAGTTATAAATTTTCTTTATCCTATTGTACTTGTGCTAGTTTTAGTAGTCATTTGCTTCCCAGTGGATTGTTCCTCTTTCTTGAACCTTTGCTAGAGGAAATTTACTTAAAGTTAGCAGAATTGATTACATAAAGAATATACTGTATAATAGAGTCTCTTAAAAAAAAATTGAAAAATCAGTTGGTAAAAAAAAACACTGATTTAGGTCTTGAGGGGTTCTAAGGAAGCAAAACCTAGCCCCTACTTTCCAGGAGTTCAAAAATCTCCAAAGCTGAAAAGAGCATAAACATGGGCAGATCACAGAATAATGTATGTCTCCAAATGGATATAGTTAATTGCCAACTGTGTATAATACCAAACGTTAGTTTAAATCATTTTGGATAAACTGTAGGTTTTTCTCACCTCTTAAAACATGGGGCTTTGAAATCATTATCCATTTATAGGTAAAAAGGCCATTTTAGGCAAAAAGGGACAAGCAGAGCAATAATGAAACTGCAGTGTTCTCATTTGAACAACAGTAGTCAAATGCTATTTGGAACATGGTTGTCACTAAACAAATTCATGGTGCATCCGAAAGACTATTTCCTGCATCCACCTGAGTTGTCAGAAGAAATCCCTTCCTCGATAGCATTCTAACATTAGGATGAATTGCTCCCATCCTGGGAAGAGAAGTCGGTTCTTAAGGCTCAGTAACATTAGCCTGGAACCAGCTTCAGCAGGGTTTAAGATCAATGTAAAGACATGCATGTAGCACACTTTTCCTCAGTGGGACCCTGCAGTACCTCTGGAGCTTTGAAAATGTGTGTTGCTAAAGTGCTTTTAGTAGAAATGGCCTGTTTCAAAGTTTCGCTTAATTATTATGGTTATGTGAAGCAATTGATTGCTTCTACCCTTTATTTTTAAGAAACCATCCTAACAAAATGGCCTTTCGTTTGCCTCTGATATAGTAAACTGTGTGTACGAGATGTTAATTGACTGTATGCAAAACATTAAATCCACTCTCTCTCCCTGCCTGCCCATTTGTGTTTCAGGCATCCTGACAAAAACAAAGATCCTGGAGCAGAAGACAAGTTCATCCAAATAAGCAAGGCTTATGAGGTATCATGTCAAACTTGTGATGCATCCATTAGCTCGTATTCATTAGGTGGCCAGTTTTGTAAAGACCTCTCAGAAAGGGCACGCTCCCAATGCCCTTGACCCAGTTTCTAGATGATGGTAGAGAAAACATATTTAGCCACATCCAGTATGTCGAAATTGGTGCCTGAAAACTGTAGCTCTTAAAAAAAAAAAAAAAACTGGCCTATTTTAAAGGCTTTAATTGGAATTATAGAATTCTCAGAATTCCTAAATGTAGGTCTCTATTTCCTTTGTAGAAACTTATATCACATGCTTACCTCAGCATGTGATACAAATTCTAGAACTTATATTAAAGAAAGACTGATTTGCCTATATTTATTAAAGTGGCACAAGGTTACAAATACATTTAAACACAAGATTTTCAACAATTTTCCAACATGTCAGCTTAAGGAGCTTGGCCTGGAATGTGCATAAAAGATAAGTCTGTGGCTTCCTGACTTGTGTAGGGTAATGTTCTTCAGGAGACAGTGCTTGGCTCATGGAATGGCACATCATCCTAAAACACCTAAAACAATTTTAAACTTCAGAGTTATTTCTAAGTAAAACAAAGCCAGCTAACATACAAGACATTGAACTGAATTCTGTGGCTTTTTTTTTTTTTTTTGATTTCACAGCTTTTCATGTTTTGGTTTGAGTTACTCCAACTAAGTAGCATGACCTATTTTTCTTGTGGTCAAGCTCTGGTGATCAACATTATGTTAAGTTTTATTTGTTTACCAATGTGTCGAATCTCTTAAGGCAAAATGAGAACTCAGAATCTCTAAAGCCAAGATGTTCATCACATGAGTATCTCAGTGACCAAAGTCTTTTGGTCTTGAAATATTTAATCATTTCTACTGAAAGAGGAGTTGCCTTGGTATATTGAAGACTGCATTCAGAATATCTAACCATGTTGTAGCTTTACATCTCTTTTCTTCCTGTGTCTTTGACACTGTTCACACGATAGTCCTTTGGGTGAAACTTTTTCCATTTTATAGATTTCCTTTTTTCTTTTCTTTCCTTGTAGATTCTTTCCAATGAAGAAAAGAGATCCAATTATGATCACTACGGAGATGCTGGAGAGAACCAGGGCTACCAGAAGCAGCAGCAACAGCGAGAGTATCGCTTCCGTCATTTCCATGAGAACTTTTACTTTGATGAGTCTTTTTTTCACTTCCCTTTTAACTCTGAGCGGCGGGGCTCCATTGATGAGAAGTATTTATTGCACTTTTCACACTACGTGAATGAAGTGGTGCCAGATAGCTTCAAGAAACCCTACCTCATCAAGATCACCTCAGATTGGTGCTTTAGCTGCATCCACATCGAGCCTGTTTGGAAAGAGGTAGTTCAAGAACTGGAAAGATTAGGTAAGATAACTTTATTTGTTGAAGGTGTTTATGTTGGAGAAGCTAACATTTGTATCTTGGGTTTGATGGGTTACTAGGGAGAAGGAATAGTGAGGTTTCTCTTCACAAGTTCATGGTGACTGGGGTTTTCCAAGGACACATTTTCAGAGGGGAGAAATGTGTCAGCCACTTTCATTTCGGACTACTAATTTGAAGCCTTATCTGTATAATTTCCTAAAATCTAGTTGGGGGCTTGATACATAGGAGAAGCCTAAAAATGACTGGTTGAACAAAGCCACCCTCAAGCATCAGTTTTGATGCTGGTGGGACCTGCGGACTATTTTCAGCAGTGTTTATGATTTCATTCTGTGATTAAATTTGCTAGAGCTACCATAACAAAATACCACAAAAAACAACAGAAGCGTATTTTCTCACAGTTCTCAGGGTTAGAAGTCCAAGATCAAAGTGTGGGCAGGTTTGGTTTTTTTCCAGAGGCCTGTTTCCTTGGCTTGTGCATGACTACCTTCTCCCTTCATGTTCACATGGTCATGTCTCTGCGTGTGCACATTTCTGCGCGTTGTGTCTCTTTCTCTTTCTCTTTCTGTGGCCTGATCTCTTCTTATAAGGACATCGGTCTTATTGGATCAGGGCCCATCCTAATGACCTCATTTTAACTTCATCACCTTAGTAAAGACCCTACCTCCAAATATGATTATATTCTGAGGTTCTGGGAGTAAGGACTCAAACAGATGGACTTTGGCAGCAGGCACAGTTCCATCCATAACACCGACGGTCATGGGTTACCACTCCTGATCACAGGTTAGCCTTTCCTGTGTTCATAGTTACCACTTAGTGCCAGGAAAATGCCAGCAATATAGACAGAGTATTTATTTTAATGACTCTGAAAAGTTGGAATTACTGAATTGTGTGTGTATGTTGTATTTTGTAGGCATTAACAGACCTATTCTTGAATAATTAAAAAAGGCCAAACTCAATCATAGGGGCCAAGGGACTGGATTTCCCTGGAGAGAACGTACCAATGAAAACCATCAGTTCATTTCTTCTGGTTTTTTTGTTTTGTTTTGTTTTGTTTAAGATTTCATTTATTTATTTGATAGAGTATGAGAGAGCATGAGCAAGGAGAGAGGCAGAGGGAGAAGCAAACTCCCCTCCTGAGCAGGGAGCCCAATGTGGGGCTCAATCCCAGGACCCCAGGATCATGACCTGGCTGAAGGTAGACACCTAGCCGACTGAGCCACTCAGGCAGCCCCAGTTCATTTTTTCTAAAACAGAAATTTTCAGCTTGTTGTTCAGAAGCACTCAGGTTTCCCAAATTCTTTTGTGAGGTTAAGTAAAGAAGCTCTTGGAGGAAGATGAGGAAATAAGTTTAACACTGTCGTACATGTGGTGAGCAGTCACAGATGCTTGCTGGTGGTGTGTAATGAGTGGACGAGAGGTTAAGATCAGCTGGAAGCCCTTGGGTTGAACAGCTTCTTTGTCGAAAAGCATAATGCATTTTCGGTCACACCAGGCGGTATACCGGAGACTGTTAAACCTCATTCATCTAGAAGCTGACAGCAAAATATAAACCTTAAACCACCGCATAAGTTAGGACACCAGTGCATTTACACCAAAGTCAGATCAGAGCCAATGTTATATTTTAAACATGCCAGGCAAACAATATGAGGTAGCGAAGCACAGTGGTTACCTGTGTTCCATCCCTGGGCTTTAGGGTCAGACCAGTGTTCAGTATATGTTCCGCTGAAGCGAGCAGCAGATAGACCAGTGTGCAGAGCTGAGCTCTGTCATTTACTCTTTGTGTCTTTAGACAAACTACTTAACACAGATTTCTCCATCTGTAAAATAGATGTAATAATGTCAAACCAACAGGACTGATACAAAGATTTTATATAAGTTTCTGTTATATATTAAACACCAACATAAAATGAGCCTTAGGGAATTTCTGATTAACTAGGTGTTCTGGTTTACCAAAGTAAAAAAAAATTTAAGCACCTATTTTATAAATTTTTTAAAATCATTCTCAAATACATGAGTCTACTTTCTTCAATTCACTGACGACCAGGCACTGAGCTTTGACTTAGGTTTAGCTAAGTCTTGCAAGGTTATTAGAAGTTAGTTGAAAGAAACCCAGGAGTAACGTTACAGGCCAGGGAACAGTGCAGCCAGAGAAACAAAGAGCATCCACAGGAGAGCCAGGCACAGGATGTGACTCAGGTATAGCCAAGAGGGAGGAAGCAGTAAGAGCACGCGGGGACCAGGTAGTAAGAAGCTGGACTTTATTTTATAGTATGTGATAAAGCCAAGAAAAATTGCCACATAGAGTCGTGATTTAGTCCCATCTACACTTTAGAAAGCTATAGAGTCACATGAAGGGCAGATTGAAGAAGGTAAGAGAAGCAGGGAGGTCACCAGCCCTGGGAAGACAGCAGCCACTGGCCCAGACTAGGACAGAAGGAATAGAGAGGTGTGGACAAGTATAAGATATCTGAGTGGTAGGAGCATGGAAGTCTGGAGGGACCTGGCTCCTGGAGACATTCTGAATGTGAAGAATGAGGAAAAAAGGGGGGCGGGGCTCAAGATTGACTGCATTCTGACTGGAGCCAGTGAGTGGGCAGGGAACCACAGGGAAGAGCTGGATTTGAGAAATTGTTCTGAATAGTAACTATGTTTGGACTTACTGCACACGGTGACATGAAAATAATAGTAGCTTGTATTGATTGAGAATTTAGTATATGCCAAGCACAATTGTAATTTCAACTCATATTAAACAACAGCCATTTAAGGCAGGTGCTGTTGTCATCCTTCTTTTACAGACACTTAACTCATGCTTGGGACCTCATCAGGGTCCCATAGTTGATGTTTGGCAAAGCTGGGATTTGAACCCCGGTAGTCTGGCCCTAAGTCCATGCATTGCACACCATGCTGTACTGCCTTTTAATATCCTCAAATCTTTGATGATTAAGGGTCTTGCTATTCTTTTGAGTGGTCATGCTATTTAATCGTAGTAATTCAGGACTCAAGTGACAAAAGTGGAAGAAGCAGAATTTAGATCCATAGAAGTGACGTTTACTGAGGGTTCAGTCCATTCCCCCGCTGCACCTCCAAAGTTCCCTGGAAGGCAGATTTTGTCCAAATGTATTAGATTAATTTGGTTTATAAACCATTTTCCTCTTTGGACCATGCAGGTTAGTTGAAGATTCCGACAGTCAGGCTCCACTTTGTTACAGTTGGGTGGCAGTGCAGTGAGATCCTTACAAAGCATCCATGGCTATTTCCCTGTCCAGGTGAGGCAGCACTACCCTTCAAGATCGATACTGCCAAAATTGTGTCTTTTCTTTTTTTTTCTTTTTTTTTTTAGCATTTTTTGAAAGATCATGAGCAGGGGCTGGACGGGGGGGGGGGGGGACCTCAAGCAGACTCCACACTGAGCACAGAACCCGGCGCAGGGCTCAGTCTCACAACCCTAAGTTTAATGACCCCGCAGAAACTAAGAGGTGGATGCTTAACCAGCTCAGCCACCAAGATACCGCCTGCCAAAATGTTCCTATTCTGTATTAATAGGAAGAGCAGACTAGGGCACCTGGTGGACTCAGTCAGTGGAGTGGGCGATTGTTCATCTCAGGGATATGAATTCAAGCCCCACATTTTGTGTAGAGATTACTTAATATTTATATATATTTATATATATATAAATAATGTGTGTGTGTATGTGTATATATATATATAAAGGGAAGAGCAGACTATTGTAAAGATCAGGTGAGTGGTGTAGAGAAGCTTGGACCCTGTGTCTTGGACTATTGTTAAATGCCTGACTTGCCCTGGATGGATGAAATAGGACAGTTCTACCCAGGGAGAAATGTGGCAGCTGCTTAGGTGGAATCTGCAGCCATGCAGTGTGCTGACAGCTAGTGTGCAGAGGCCGCCCACACGTATGGACAACGCACTGGGGAGGAGGACCAGAAGTAGTCAGCACTGCCTTCGACCTCAAGGAACTGACTATTTAGCCAAAGAGAAAATACATACCCAGAGAATTCACACTTGACATTTGCAAGTACAGAATCACATTTGCAATTACCAAATGATGTAGCACTGCAGGAGTAAGCAGAGGATGAGAAAGAACTCGTGTTCTCATTTAAAACTTTCTTCTTCATGAACCAAGTCCTGTGTTAGACATTAATGTATAAATTATCATTGTTTTTGTTGAGTCTTTTGGTTGTTTTGCATTATGCTAGGGGCTTTGTGAGGCTTATCTGTATCATAAGAGCAACTCAGTGAGGGAGAGATACTATTGTTTTGTTTTGTTTTAAGATTTTATTTATTTATTCATGAGAGACACAGAGAGAGGCAGAGACATAGACAGAGGGAGAAGCAGGCTCCATGCAGGAAGCCCGATGTGGGACTTGATCCTGGGACTGCAGGATCACGCCCTGAGCCAAAGGCAGATGTTCAACCACTGAGCCACCCAGGCATCCCGGGAGAGACTGTTGTTATCCCTATTTTACAAATGAGGAAACTGAGTTCCAGGAAGGTTAAGGAACTAATCATGGTCACACTATACACAAGTAGCAGTGCTGGGCTATAGACCTAGGAGCGCAGCTCCAGGTCACTCTTAACCACCATGCTGCACAGCTTCAGGAATAAGTAAAACATGGTTCTTGCACCAGCTAACTCAAGTGGGAGACACAAGTGAATCATCACAGTGCTCTGAGTGCTCAAGGGGAAGGGCACAGACAGCTACCAGGGTGTCAAGGAGGTTGAATGTCTTAAAATCAGATATTTTAGGGCAGCCCAATTTGAACAATCCTGCAAATTACTCATCATGCCTTTTTTTTTTTTTAAGATTTATTTTAGAGAGACAGTGTGTGCACACAAGAGTGCAAGCAGGGGGAGAGGATGTCAAGCAGACTTCCTGCTGAGTGTGGAGCCTGATGCAAGGCTTGATCTCAAGACCATGAAATCATGACCTAAGCCGAAACCAAGAGTCAGATGCTTAACCAACT